TTTGCCCCCCTCCCCCACCCTCACCCGCTCCCTAAGCTACGGTTATTTTGGGAAATAGTTTAGAATTAAATGAGAAAATTGTAAAGTTCTTGTACTTTAATATCCAGTCACCCTCCTGATGCAATTTGCAAGCAACACAGACATTCCAGCCCTTGGCAGAGTTGCTGTCAGACATTGGAGGAAATAGAAAGTCTGTACAACAACCACAACAACTTGCATTTATATAATGCCCTTCATGCGGGGCAGGTCTCGGAGCGCTTAACTGTGACATAGCCCTACGCCGAGCTGGTGAGAGGGAGGATGTGACCAAAAGCATAGGGAAGGGCAGGAGGCTGCAGGCAAAGTGAAAACTAACTTTATGTTATATTTCTGGTGATCAGGGGACACAGGCTAAGACTGATAGATTTTTAAAAAAATAGAGGGATTAGGGGATATGGGGATAGGGCAGGTAATTAGAGTTAGGTCTGAAGATCAGCCATGATCTTATCAAATGGCAGGGCAGGCTCGAGGGGCTGAATGGCCTACTCCTGCTCCTAATTCTAATGTTCTTGTGACCTAGGACATTGCTGTGTTGTAAGTGCTAAGTGTCCATTTTGTATTTCTGACATGGGAGTGTCATAGACCAGCAGTTCCCAGCATAAGGTGTGGCCACTTCTAAGACGGGAATCTTATGGTATCAGCACATAATAAACGTATTCTAATTTCCAGCAAAAAATATACAAATTTCCTCCCACACAGACAATGTACATCCACATAAACCCTTGAAGGAAGATGAGTGATCTCAAGAGATGGGAAGGCAGGCTGCTGGGCCAAAGGTCAGATGCAGAACCTTGACAGTGCTCAGAGATGCTGCCTCCACAAAATATACAGTCAATTCACTTTTCAATAAAAATAATAATACTTGCATTTGATATGGCACCTAATTACGTCTTTGAGACGTCTCAAAGCGCTTCACAGAATATATACTGTAAAGTGAATTGACACTATTTTGTTGGCAAAACTCTTCATATAATGCAGTGGGATCTTTAACATTAATAATAATAATAATAATCCTTGCATTTGACATAGCGCTTTTCACGTCTCAAAGCGCTTCACAGAACACACTGTAAAGTGAATTGATTGTATATTTGTGGGCGAACGCGGCAGCCAATTGCGCACAGCAATGTCCCACAAACAGTCGTAGATTGAAAATGACCAATTTATTATTGTTTTTGGTTTTGGAGGGATTATTATTAGGCGTGTGGAGTAAGGAAACTTGCCCAAGGTTTCATCCTGCCTGGAATTGAACCCAGGTGTCTCGCTTGCAAAGCGAGTGCTCTAACCACTGAGCTACAGGACTCCACATTCACCTGTAGGCAGGTGAGACCTTGGTTTTACCAGCAGGATTCTGTAGTCGAGTGAATCCCATTGTGAACTACTGCTTCATCGGGCCCTTGTCATACAAGAGAAATGCGTTGGAACCATTTAATGCACCATTCCCTTTCTCACCACCTCATGTGCCTTATGGTTCAATTTGACAGTTTTACTGACTGTGAAGTTCACTTAACATGCAGCAGAAACACACTCACACGTGCAGATATTTCAGTCTGGAAAGAATCAATAGTGACAGGTCCCTGAATATGCATAGGCTTTATACAAGAGGGAAGATTCAATGAATGAGTGACTGAAACTAGCACCTAGAGAAGAGAGTAATACATATGGGAAATGCGAGGGAGGTAAGACTAATGAATAGCAAGGGAAGAAGAGAAAGTATGCATTTTATAATAATAATCCCTACATTTGATTTTAATGGAATGACCCCCATTTGAATTCTTTTTGACGCTGGTGGACACTGTTTAAACCAGATTTACAGGAGAGAAAACTGAGCAGGTGAAAGATATTTGGAAATGGAAGAATTGTCAGAATACAGGCGGGTTTTGTTGAAAAATGAACTTTGCAACGTAAGTTCCTTAAAAAAATAATAAATTGGTCACTTCAATCCACGATTGTTTGTGGGACACTGCTGTGCGCAATTGGCTGCCACTTTTCGCCCACAAATATACAGTCAATTCACTTTACAGTATATTCTGGGAAGCGCTTTGAGACGTCTCAAAGACGTGATAAGGTGCTATATCAAATGCAAGGATTGTTATTATACATAGGTCACACTATGATAACAGATTGTTCTTTGACCTTTATTTCTGTTGATAGAACCAGTGCTTCAGAAAATATAAAATCACCAACAAAGGTCATAATTGGGTGTGTTGGTAGTTATTAGAGGTCACAGGGTGGGACTGAGAATTAAATAGGGTGAGAACTCCTTCTTAGCAAATTCCACTTTACCCACTGATACACGAATACAGTAATCAAGAAGGAAACTGCCTTGTAAACAGCTAATCTGTCAGCAGAAAAGGAGAAGCAGTTCAGGAAGACATTTGGGAGGAGACAAAAAAAAAAGCTAGTTTTGTCAAAACTTTCAAAGTAATTTCTGCAGTTACTAAATTCTCCTCCAGTTCTGGCCCACTGCTCATTCCTCATTCCCTCGCTTCCACCATTTAGGAGTGTCTTTATCGTTCTAGTAACCCACTGACAAAAGTATTGTTGGCATTTCCTATAACATGCCAGGACTTACTAGCTTCTAAATGTAACCTGCTATGTTTGAACTGGAGGGATAAATAAACTGATTGGTAAATATTCCTACCCACATGTGTGGTAACATTCATTGTGTTAATTTTCTATTTAACATGTAACATGTAAAGTTACAGTTTGAGCTTTGCAGGCTAGAATAAGACAGGGAGGTGAGCCCTAACTGTGGTTAGTGCAGGTTGTTATTATAATTGCCTCTATGTTGGAGTCACTGGAGGGTGAGCAGGAACCCTGGCAGATTTCTCCTCCCTTCCCATTACCTTGTGTTCATAATTTGGAACTCTTTGTACTGTTCAAGTTATGGGACGTTATGTACAGTACATTGTTCTTTGAGGAGAACTGGAGTCCAACATAAGCAAAGTTTATAACTGTGGTTTTTTGATGAACTCCATTTTTTAAAAAAATAACCACATTTCTGATCAACAAGCTAATCGGCAAAAGAAAATAGTTTTTTTTTGAATGCATAAAATCCTTGGGTTAAATTGAAAACCACAAAATTGGTGCAAGATCGACTGGTTCGGTCTCAGTTTGATATTCCTGATATGTCGACATCTCCATTTAAAAAAAAGCAAACTTATTGCACAGGAAAGTGATTGGGAAATCCAACAAAATACCTTGTTGTTTTCAACCCCAAAGAAATAAGGTCTTTGCTAAGCCCAAGCCCCTTTCTTACACATTATATTGCCAAAACCTTTGGTATTGCCAAGATAACACAGAGCTCCCTGAAAGGTTGCTGCTGTTTACTGGAGACGTATCTCAAGATAAATACTAGTCACTAAGATCAGCACATGGACATCATACTGGAGTCAGAAATACTCAGTAATTTGTAGTTCTTTAAAATTAAACAAACCGACAGTGATTATGTTTGTTGAGAGATGGTGTTTGCTTCCTGTTGATAAAGGGGTTAGTGCTTGTTCTTCATCAATTATAATCCTAGAAATTAGACCTAATCACTAAATGAGATCAGTGATGGACTAATTAGTTAGATCCAGTAGCTGTGCAGCACAGTGAGAGAGTGAGCTGGTGCATGCGATGGGATGTAGATTTGCTGGTGTCTGCCATTGGTCTGAGGTGTTGGCGGGGAGAGTGAGTGGCAATGTGGTCTGGGACCATTGAGCATCTAATGCAGCAAGATGTGGTGTCTTCAGAAGGATAGAGGAAATTGTGAAATAAAAGATTCTCCACCACCCCCCACCCCCATGGAAGGAAGAGTTGGAAAATAATGGGGAAGAGACAAAATAACTTTATGAAGTGGTGTCGTTTAAAAAGAGAACAAACTATTATTTCCCATCTGCTTTATCTCCAGCCCATTCTTTGTTTATTACGTCTGCTGCCTTCCCTTGAACAGTAATTCACTGCAAGCTTCTATCCTGAACTGGAACATCATTCATACTTAAAGTGCTTTTAAGTGCAAGCTATTAATGTTGGCGTGCTCTGTACCCTAAATTTCTCTATAAGTAAAGAAATGTTTTACTAAAGCCATCAAGTTTCTAAAATGATACCTAAAACTGACAAACCTCATTGTGAAAACCATATACCTATGAAAGCAACGTTCGATACTAACAGCCATTTAAGCTGCTGAAAAACAGAAAGTCTGCATGTTTCAGAGTGAACAGGATATGCTTGACTAATTTTACAAGGTGCAAGTAAACCTAACCTTATAATGCACCTAACATCGCTGACTCAGTTAAGAGCAACCTTACCTTTGGATCAGAGAGTTGTCAGTTTAAGCCCCTAGTCAAGATTTGAGCTCAGAGGCTCAGAGGTTAACTAACACTTTAGCCGAATACTGGAGTGAGTGCTAAAAACAACAACAAATTAGATTTGTATAGTGCCTTTCATGTCAGGAGGACGTCCCAAGGCGCTGGACAGTCAGGGATCCTGAGGTGTGTTGTCCTACAAATAAGGGATTAAACTGAGATCCTTCTATTTGTTCAGGTGAATATTAAAGAACTTGTGACATTATTTGAAAGCAACCTTCCAGATACAAGTTGGTCATTCACTTCATGGCTGTTCAGGGAACACCGATTCTATGCTCAAAATAGGTCCAGCATTTGCCTACATAACCAGCCACAACACGTGTCTCAGACTCTTAGAAATAAGGCAGTATAAAAATACAAACTCGCTCTTTCTTTGACAGCAAATAGATTGATCAAACATATTGCAACTTAGTGCAATTTAAAGAACGTTGCCTGCTGACAAGGCAGGAATTAATTTGTGTAGGGTGCTGAATTTGTTCATTCTTTTTTGACAAAGATGTTACGTGTTGTCTTGATGCTGAATGTACAAATTTGAATGTTTGAATATTGCCTGCTTCTGTGAACTTGTGAAATAAAGGTGCACTTAAAACACTTTTTTTCTCTCCCTTCCTACAGCTGGTTTGCCATTGGCTGTTCTAAACGTGTTCAAAATAAAGCCGTATCAGAGAGGTTTTTACTGTGATGATGAAACCATCAAGTACCCGTACAAGAATAGTACCGTCACCTCCACTGTGCTGTACACAGTGGGGTTTATGCTGCCCATAACGGCTGTAAGTAGTTCAGAGGCTCAAGGCGATAGTGGGGGCTCCAGTAAAAATACAGCAGTGGGGGGTGGGGGGGTGAGAGGGCGTTTGGAAGCAATGGATCCAGATCAAAGAACAACTGGGGCTTGCAGTTTCTGGATCTCTACACATACAGAACTGCCTTTTCTTTTCATTCCAAGTCTTCCTCATCTTGCCTCGTGCAGTCATATTAATGATGGAGCTATAAAAGTAATGAATTGTTAATTGTGGGTTTCTACGAGTTTCAGCCCATCCTTGCTGGGTAAAGAGAAACTCAGTCCCTTACAGGGAGTGCGACAAATACTGTAATGTGCCCAGCACTTTTAATGGTCAAATATGATGTAACACGTGTAAAGCATATATATGTACAGTAAGGCCGTTAATGTGTAATTGTGATTTGTGGCTGCATGTGCAATGCCCCTTGCTTTCTGTTTTGGGCTGTGAACCTTTTGATGCCTTCAGCTGCAATGCTTCTATACGCACTGCCTTGCTCTGCTTACAACTTCAGTCAGCTAGCACAGTGTGTTAATTCAAGGCTTAACCCAATCAGCTTCACTCACCTTTACGAGTTTCGTCAGTTTTATTTTGCACAACTCCCGTTCGTAATAACAACTAGTCCTCCAGTGAAAAATACCAAGGTGCTGCACCTCTTGAGATCTTGTGCATGATTGTTCCTGCAGTGTTGGAAAGGTGCAGAGTGACCATCAATTCCAGAGGTAAACTGACGTCATCCAGAGAGATGAGCACAAAGATCAACCTCTGCTCACATGCAAACTTGCTCTTGTTGGTAAAGCTTTGCTGCTGCTCAGCCAGGAACACATGTGGCTCATGTGCAGGAAACACTGGCACCCTGCAGAAGCGAACGCCTCGGAATGACATTGAAGGTGGTTGTAGAGAAGTTGGTGAATCAGACCATCTTACAACCCTACTATCTTACACTCCTGCACAATACTCCTGACAAGCTGCATGGCAGGACGCAGTACTATGTCGGGGGAGCTAAACCATGGTAAGGTAATAGGAGAGTTAGTAAGTCATGCAATACAGGAATACTTTTTATTAAGAATGATAAACTGAGTTCCTGCATTTAGTGTTTAGACAGGATCCAGACACATGATCTGTGTGTTACTCACGGTACAGTTGATTGCTTTAACCCTTTGAACATTCTGCCCCACGGCAAGCAGTGTGTCTGGATTAACAGTGACTCTTTGTTTATTCACCAAATCTCTCGAATTAAGAAGTGACCTGTGTAGATTATTGTCATTCTGTTCCTAAAATTCTCAGTGTTAGATAGTTGTAACTGTTTCCCATAGACTGGGACTGAACAGTGGTGAAAGAAATGCATTTATCTGGTAATTGTGGCTACCATATAACTCTTAGTAAGAGAGCTATATTTTTCAATAGAAAGCAACAGCTAATTAAGATGATATTACCACATTTCGATTTCACCTCATTGCCATGTGAACATCATAAACATAATTCCTCAAGACCTCATCTTTCTCCTGCTATAAGAGTGAAATCTCTGAAATCTAGTGCAGAACTCGATTTAAACTTCACTTTCCATTCATTGATTCTTTCATTTAACTCCATAAACTACTACTACAACAACAACAAAATTACATCTGTAAAGCGCCTTTCACATCGGATGGACATCCCAAGGCGCTGGACAGTCAGAGTTTCGGACCCGAGCTGGAGATCGGGATTGGGGAGGGTGTAGGGCAGAGGGGAAAGGAGGGTGATCAAAAGCACGGTCGAAGTGGAGGATCTTGAGATGGAAGCATGGGAGGGGGCGAGGTGGAGGGGCTGTGGGATGGAATTCCAGAGGGTGGGGCAGAGTGGCTGAAGGCCTGCCCACCAATGGTGGGGCAGGCGAAGTAGGGGACATGAAGCAGGCCAGAGCCTGCTGAGGGAGCAGGTAGGTGGTAGGGGGTTAGGAGCTCCCAGAGGTAAGGTGAGCAAGGCCATGGAGGACTTTAAAGGTGAGGACCAGGATCTTGAACTGTATCCTCTGCGTGATAGGAAGCCAGTGGAGTCGGGCGAGGATGGGGGTGATAGGGTCACGGAGCCTGGTGCGGGATAGGACATGGCCTGCAGAGTTCTGGACGATCTGCAGCCTATGGAGGGAGGAGTTTGTGAGGCTGACAAGCAAGGAGTTTCCATAGTCAAGCCTGGATGTTGTGAATGTGTGCATGAGGGTTTCGGCAGTCTGTGGTGTGAGACTCATTTCAACTAATTTCCCTTGATACCCTCCTGTTTGCAGAAATAGCAAAGAACAAAAGAAAAATATTTGTGTATCAAAACAATTATGAGCTAAATACAATTTCCATGTTCTGTGTATCAACCATGACTGCCTCTATAATCTTGAGGTGAATCTACCACTAGTTGTATGCACTGCTGTGTACGTGCTAAAGCATCACATCTGCAAAAGCTTATGTTGTGGTTAAACGGACACGTGGTGAATGCCATTCCATTGTATTTTTATTAGGGTAGAAATTGTATGCATAGTTTGGAGACGTTTAGTATTCTTGACATTGCTTGTGATACTATACTGTAGTATACCATAGCCAAGCCACTGCACAAGCATTTTACAGTTCTTCAGAGACAATGGCCTGATATTCTTGGTGCTATTCAAGTATCAGAAGACAGGAACAGGTGAAGGAGACCCTTCCTTCTGCCCTTTTATCTCATCTGTCCATAATAGCATGTCTGCTGTATCCAATGCAGCATTAAGCTGCTTTGTGAATTAGTCCAGTGTCCTTGCTTCCTAGTCCATTTGTTCATTACCAACTATGTAACTTCTCAGTGCAGGACAGGGCTCCAATTGCAGGCAAACTTGAGTCAACTACTTTACACTGGAAATTGGTTACTATAGTGAGGAATTACCAGCATTGTGGCATTAGGTTATACACACGAGAAGATCACAGATTTAATCTTAGTCTGCATTGTATTATCTGATCTCAGAGAGGATAAAAGTGTCTTCAGTGCCTCCTGGGCTAGTGAGGGAAACATCAGACCAGGTTCCTGCTCCAAGTCATTGACCAGAGACACCTCCAGTTTGGAGAGCGAGCGGAATTAAAATTCTCTGCTGGAGCTGCATGTGAGGATGTTGAGTGAGGACAGTGTCAGGCTCAGCTACGATGCTCCCCCCCCTGCCCCCACCCCCTTCCTGCAATCAAATAACCGTACAAAAATCACATTTAATACTTGTAAATGGACACTTTGGAATTAGCTATTTCAAGAGAGGGAGAATAGGGAGTTAAAATGAATACTTTCTGGGGAGAATGCTAACTTCAGATCAGAGAAAATAAGACTAATTCATAGATACCATCCTTCCCTCAGAACTTGCCAGTGCGGAATGTGAGGTGGGGGAGAAAGAAGTATATGTTGATAAATATGTTCTTAATCCAACACCTTATTCGGAACTTCAAAACTGAACAGAGTGAATTGGAAAGTAAAGCAGACAAAAGTCAATAAAATTCAGCTGGTCATCTTTTGTGTCATTGTGGTTACGAATCTACTGATTTGACTGTCTTTATAATGCATTTGCTGTTGTAGCATTATTCTAGGTCTGTAGCACAGTTTCCGGGCCGTCTACAAATAGGTAGTAATTGGTTAAATAGATGTTGTAGTCCATTGAGCAGGAACGCTAGCCGTTAATGCAGATGATTTGCGTGGCTAATACAGGGGCAATGGAAGTTGTAAGAAGGGCGAGTGGATATGACCCGGATATTAAAGTGAAACAGAGTTAAGATGCTCCTATTTGGGCTCTAAATGTGTCCTGGGCAAGTGGGGCTTAGTCATTAAGAATATTCGTAACTTTGCTTGTTACAACCCTGGTAACAGTGATATTGCAAAATGCTGAAATATTATCTTGTAACTCCAACAAGCTGACTAAATACTAACTTTTTTTTAATAATCCTTGCATTTGATATAGCGCCTTATCACATCTTCGAGACATCTCAAAGCGCTTCACAGGTTATACTGTAAAGTGAATTGACTGTATATTTTGTGGGCGAAACGTGGCAGCCAATTGCACACAGCAGTGTCCCCAAAACAGTGGTGGATTGATGACCACATTATTATTATTATTTTTTCGGGGGAGTGGGGATTGGTGATTTGCACTATGAATTACTATGAATTATTTTTTAACAATTTTCGCTGATGTCTGTTACTCAATATTTTGGAAGAATCTTGGAAACTACTTTAATTTGAGCTGGTTCCTGTTCTTAAGTATTTTCAAAAAGTAAAGGAAAACTATAACATGTTCTGCCATGTTCGCCTACAAAAAGTGGAGTCACTATACTTTACAGTAAATCCTGCGAAGCACTTTGAAACATGTTCCTGACATGAAAGGCGCTAAATCAAATTCAAGGATTAGTATTTTTATTATTAATCCTGAGAGGAAGTTGTCCGCACAGTGCATCATGGATACTAACGGAGTAACGTGTTGCACTTGTGGTACACTGCAAAACAAAGAGTGAATGATTATTATGAGTTTGCAACACATTCCATGTACAGCCATCATTTGTCAGGAATCTGAAAATCAACATCTGTCAAATAAGAAATTGATTATAAACTACCCACACATGTGGGCCACATGAAGGGCCTGTGTGCTCGATAATGTCTGTAATAAGCCTACTCAGGGCTGTCTGTATGTTTTTTGTTTAAGCAAAACTTTCTCTTTGACTGATCAGAGGCCAGACAATACGACAGTATGTGATTATTTTACATCTCCTCAGCTCATTGATATTACTGCACTGTTATTATTGCAAGAATTAAGTCAAATGATTGCAAAGCAAGCACTTTTGCTATAATGATAATCCTTGCATTTGGCATTTGACACAGCGCCTTATCAAGTCGTTGAGACGTCTCAAAGCGCTTCACAGGATTTTCCCGTGAACTGTATGTAGTGACTATTATTTGCTAATTTTTCATTTCCTTTCACTGCTCTGTGTAGCATTTGAATCAGAATGTCAGGTTTAAACCCAAAA